GGTGGGATGACAGAGAGGCAGCACTGATCTGATGCTAACATAGTACATCCAAAAGTGGACAGGGTGAGTCAGATGTCAACAGGGGTCAAGCTTTGGGGGTCTGTGAGGTGACAGGAGCATAGGGGATCACAACTTTCCCCCCCAAACCATCCTCTCAGTGAAGCAAATAAAAACTTCATGAATGGGGCTCTGTTGGAAGAGAGGATGAAGGGGGAGTGTCTTCTGCTGTATCTTGCAACAAGGGGGCAAGATGTGCATCATACTCATCATGGATGCGATCAGGGAGAGTGGAGAACAGTAGATTATACTGTAGCTGTTGCAATCTTGGAAGAATGACAGATGAGACTGGTACAAAGACATTGCAGGGAGCAGGGAGGAAGGATCCATATGCTTCTTGGACTGGAGAGACTGAAACAACCACATAAGACCTTTCCAAGCAAATGACAGACATGAGGCGACCAAAGAATGTCCTCCTAGAGGTCATACTGACAAAAAGAACACACTGTCCAAGCTGGATGGGCTGAGAGGGCACAGATGAGGGTGGAATGTACCAGGATGCTTCAGGACAGAAGCTGGTAGGAACTCCTGGTAGATATATGTAGCCATGGTCCCTAGCAAAGGGGACAAGTGAAATGATTGACATGGAGGCAGCCATGTCAGAAGAATTAGCAAAATGAGTGTCTTTTGGAGGGAGTGCTGTAGAAATGTGTGGAGTGTGCAAATCCTTTCCAATTTTGGAAGGTAGGATCACATGGCTGAGTGCTACAAGCAAGTGTGAGAATGGTCTTGGTATCTGCAGAGACAGCAGAGATATGTTGAAAACCAGAATGCCATACACAGGCACTTAAGAATTTTAACCAGCACTTAACTCACTCCCTTTTCTTTTTCTTTGGCACTGATGACTTGTTCTTGTGTGAGGGATGACTGCTGACATTTCTGGCTGTCCTTCTTCACATGAGGGCTATGGTCTTCATCTCCATTCATCAGCTGTATCCATGTCCACCTCACCAAACACCTTTGGTGTGTGACAGCATGTTCAAACCAAGAGAGGGCACACATCTACACAGTGACCAACAACGCTATGTACAACAACTACAACAGAGTGGAAGGGGAGCTGGGAACAACAAGGGTGCAAGAGCTGAGAGAGAAGAAATTGTGGAAGAGGAAGAGAACAGTGGAGATGACAAGCAGGATGGTGTGGGCAAGGATGGCAAGGATCCCCCAGAGGAGGGGAGTACTTTGGCAGAGAGGGTATAGATGAAGTGTCTTGGAGAGAGGGCAAGCAGGTATAGCTGTGTGCACAGATGACGAGGACATCATCATTTTTTGAAGGGGGCACATGGAGTAGGGAGGTCCAGGGACAGGAGGCAAGGATACAGCCACAGCATGCTTAGTCAGATAGACACACATGCAGACATGCAGAGGCAAATGTACAGTTATGATACAACAGACCAGGAGCTCAGTTCATCCCACTGAAGGAGTCCAACCACTCCAATGGGAAGTTGGATGACAATGAAGTAATCTACATGCAACTGCCACCTGGACTCTCAGTTAACAGCAAATATAAAAACCTGTCACCTGACTGCATGTAGTGCTTTACAGATCAAAGCAAGGAGCATTGAAGTGGTACAAGTGGCTGTGTGCTGCACTTGCTACACTCAGTATGCATTGTGCTGAAGCCAACTGGGGTGTTTTCTTCATGCACACAGGCCAGGACATCCTACTCCTCACATCACACATTGATGACTGCACCATCACCAGCAATAACCCTAGCTTAATTACAAGGTTCAAACCTGAAGTGGCCACAAACTTCAAGTTAACAGATTTAGGCCCCATTTTGTCCCTACTTGGAATAAAAGTCATGAGTAACTGCTCAGCATGCATGCTCTCACTCTTGCAGGCATCCTACATCGATTCTATGATGTTAAAATATAATTTTGTAGATCTATGGCCTGTCGCAACACCTATGGACCCCTCAGTCCAGTTCTTGACTGCCCAGTGCCCAAAAATGCATGCTGAGGCTGCATACATGAAAAATGTGCCATATCACAAAGCCATTGGCTTGCTGATGCACCTAGTGGTCGCCACACACCCCAACATGGCTTTTGCTGTTGGAACATTGTTGCAATTCTGCAATAACCCCAGGTTAGCACATTGGGAAGGTGTAAAAAGAATATTTAGATACCTTTTAGGCATGAAAGGGCTTGTGTTGACATTTGGAGGGGATAGATATGGTCTTGAGGGCTATACAGATGCAGATGGCACCTTGCAGGAGCACTGGAACACCATTTCCAGCTATGCCTTCCTGCTCAATGGTGGAGCAATCTCCTGGGCCTCGAAGAAACAAGAACTGATTACTTTATCTACTACAGAAGCTGAGTACATTTCTGCCACTCATGCAGCAAAAGAAGCCATCTGGCTTTGTCACCTCATCCAAGAGTTGTTCTGCCCACTCTCACTCCCAACCACAATTTATTGCAACAATCAGTCTGCAATTGCACTTGCTCACCATGGCAATTACCATGCCTGTACAAAACACATAGATGTTCATTATCATTTTATATGCTATGCTATTGATAATGGTTCACTTTGCCTCATCTACTGTCCTACTGGCAGTATGGTTGCAGATACCCTTACCAAGGCTCTTCCAAACATCAAAGTCAAGCACTTTGCTTATGAGCTTGGACTCTGTGATGTTTGAGGGGGAGCATTGTATATTCTGTCTTTCATATTATACTTTCAACTGCATCCCACTTAGTATTATAGTGCGCATTTGGCTATATTACATAATCACATTCATTTTCATACTTGAGTAGCATACTCACACCTCAGTTGGCTACTTAACCCAACTGAGGTGAGCACTTTCTACATCCTGTCTTTACACTCAGCTGATAGTCCTGTAGTATATATTCTACAGACCCTGTGACAGGCCTGTCTATATAGATTAGCCATGACACATGGACAGGCCTGAGGGCCTATAGTGAGAGCAACATATGTACAGGCCCATAAGCACAATTCCACAACATATGGGAGGGCCTGTGGAGGGTAAGGATGCTGCAACATATAGATGGGCCTGTGACCAAGTATGTATGCTGAGCTACTGTAAGACATGGACAGGCCCATCCATGGTAGGGTGCACCCCAGTCACAATATCAGGACAGGCCTGCCTATTGTATCATGAAGCAGGTCACAACATATAGATGGGCCCACCCATCATATGCTTTATAGGGTTGCAACATAAAGAGGGGCCCCTCTATGATAGATTACAGAGTTGGCAACATATGGAAGGGCCTGTCTTTGGGATAATATACCCCTGTCACAACATATAGAGAGGCCCATCCATAGCAAGATGTATGCCTGTCACAACATAAGGATGGGCCTGTCAGCAATATCATTGACAGCATCACAACACATAGACAGGCCCATCTAGTAAGATGCATCCCTGTCACAACATAAAGATGGGCCTGTCAGTAATGTCATTTATAGTGTCACAACATATGGATGGGCCCTTCTGTAATACCATTTATACCATCACAACACATGGGTGGGCCTGTCCATAGTAAGATGTACCTGTCACAACATAAAGACAGGCCCTTCAATATATATCATTTACAGGGTCACAACACATGGATGGGCCCATCTAGTAAGATGCACCCATGTCACAACATAAAGACAGGCCAGTCAGTATTATCAATTACATTGTCACAACAGATGGATGGGCCTGTCTAGTAAGATACACCCCTGTCACAACATAAGACAGGCCTGTCAGTAATATCAATTACAGTGTCACAACACATAGATGGGCCCATCTAGTAAGATGCACCCCTGTCACAACATAAAGACAGGCTCATCAGTAATATCATTTATAGCATCACAACATATGGAAGGGCCCTTCAGCAGTATCATTTATGTGGTCACAACATAAGGATGGGCCCTTCAGCAGTATTATTTACATGGTCATAACGTATGGATGGGCGCTTCAGTAATATCTTTTATATTGCCATAAAACAAGGACAGGTCCATCTAGTAAGATCCACCCCTGTCACAACATAAGACAGGCCCAAAACCAATAGCATGTATAGCATCACAACATATTGATTGGATCACAGTAAAATATTGAGGCAAATGTCCTGACATGCTGTAATTTTCCAACAAGCTGCTTGCAGCTTGCCCACTATACAACTCTGACCTCATCCACCCCAAGCATGAATACTATGCAAGACAAGTCTAAAACCCCCCATGGATGGCAAATGGAACTAACAGACTGCATTGCATCATACATGAAAGCCAGATTTCAAGAGGAGGTATTCAGTGGACCTCATGCCCTTCCAGATATATTGATTCTGTTTCTGGTGTTATGTGAAGTGGATCACATATCATCAGTAATCTCACAGGCCTATCATCACCCAAGTAAGTCCATCATAATGGTGTGATGGAAGTTTTCATCTTTCTGCAGTCAATGTTGGGAAAAATCAAGGTGGAAAAACCTGCAATGCAGAAGCTGCTGAGAGATATGTGGAAGTGACTGAGCCATCCATTCTGGTGACTGACTCAAACACCATCCACATTTGGTATTTGCTGGATGCTCTCAGCCCAAAAAGAAGGGTAAGGGAATGCAGAATCTCATATTCTACTGACTTAATGGAATGGCAGGCTGACATATGGAACTGCCTTCATCTTCTGAGGGAACCACTGTGGGAGAGCATAACAGCTTCCCCACAGGCATGGCAGATGGACAAGTCATATTTCTGCAATAATGCTGAGTTGAAAGGTGCCATCAACCTGTCACCTGCATGGTTTCAACAGGGTCATGGGGTGGGTGATCATTTCTTGCCTTGTGAATAAAGTGCTCATCCATCTTGAAGCCCCAAAATGGCTTCCTGGAAGCCTCATGGCTGCTCAAATCCAGGATGGAAAACACTTCTACAAGGGAATGGGTTGACCAAATGTCCAACACCAATGCCCTGTTATCTGCGATCCTGCATGTCATCCATCTGTGAATGTATGCAGATGGCAGGGAAGCATTGATCTGCCTTGGTGAACAGGCAGATCAGTGGGTGGATTCAGATATGAGCTCCATGTATAGCAGCATGTCTGTGATGGTGAATTGGGCAACTTGTTACCACAGAGATATCAATGGACAGGATCCATGGTATGACATGCTGGTAACTGTGGGCAACTACCTGCCCTTGGACTTTGTCATTCCAATGTTGAATCTGTGGCTGTGCCACAACCCAGGGATGATCATTGCATTTTCAGGTTCAGCATTGGAGCATGGGGTGGGAGCTGTAGATGGTGACAGAGCATGCCTGGCATACTACATGCATGCCAATGTACATCAGTTGGTGCACATTCCCATGTGTCAATCACCACAGATGGACAGCCTACTACCTAGACCAGTTGCAACTGGAGAACTGTTGATTTGAAGCTGCAAAATTTAATGTAAGATTTAGTAGGCAATGCAGATCTTGTATTTTATTAGGATATGCTGGCTCTTGAACTTTGGATGGGTGGTGTTGCCAAGATTTTGCAAATGGGCAGGTGCTTCAACATCATAGATTGGGCAGGTACTCAGAGCTAAAGGGTGTGCATCATAAACTGCAAAAAAAGTAAACCTACTCAGGCCATCATGCAGATGGGTGGATTGTCACACATCACACAGATGGGTGGGGGTTCAGACATCATGTGAATGGGTGGTATCTCATAAATGATTGACATTCACAGCAATGTATATACAACCAACACCACAGTCAAAAACATGTAAACTATTGAAGCAGCATGCCCAACAACCCCTGCAATGCCCACCACCTAGCATAGAAATGGTCAATTTGTTGACCCTGACTGTTGACAACATCAGCATATTTCTGAATATTTTTGAGACTGGCTGAATGCCTTTGGTTGTATTTCCATCTGCTGAGAAATATTTATCTGCTCATTTGCCAAGCTTCTGCCTATTGAAATACATTAGCTCCTGCAATAGCAGAATGCAATGTTGTCCCTGAATTGAACCTTGCAAATCTCACAATCTGCTCATTTGCACATGTCCCACCTGTGGGCATACCTTGGATCCTACATTAGTGCAATGAGAATATTGCTTTGCATTTGCATCTGATGACCAATTGCTCTCAGCCTTGCATCTTGCACAGTCCACTCATTTTGAAGGGTTCCATCTATCAGGATCCATTGAATGCCATGTTAGCAAGTCAAGACAGTCCATATCAACCTTGCATATTGCACAGGCTGCTCATTTGGAAGGGTTCTGTCTATTGGGATCCACAGAATGCTGTTTTCACAGGCTGACATCTTTCTTTGCATCATTATCCTATTATCAGCCATTATCTTGTTTTGTAACTCCCAAGTGAACACTGTAAATAGCATAGCCCACTCATTCACCAGGTGTCTGTCTATTGGGATTCATCAGTGGCTGTATTAGCAAACTCAGATGTGTTGGCCAAATCAGACTATTAATTGCATTTGTGTCAGATGGCAGGTTGCTATCACATATCGCACAGTCTGTTCATTTGCAAAGGTTCTGTCTATCAGGTTCCATCAGCTCTGGTTTTAGCAGAATGAGACCATCCCACTATCTCATTTTTTAAATTTCAAGTTAACTATTCTATGTCACAAAGCCATGCATTCACTAAGCTTCCACCTATCTCTATCTGGATACATTAGCAGTTGTTTTAGTAGAATGAGATTATCCTTCACAATTCTGTTGGCTGTCTAGCTATTATTGTCTTTTTCTCACTCTTAAATAAAGGTTGAATATACAATGTGGCACGAGTGGTCAATTAAAATGGAAATACAAAATGACATTGTATGTACCATGGAGGAATAAAATGATAGATGCCCTTTTTCACCCTGCTGTCCTATCCACCCCTGTCTCATCTGCCAGAGGCCCTAAGAGATCGATGAGATCATCACCCAATGCTCATCCATATACCCAAAATACACAGAGCCTCCAGCTTGTGAGCCATCCTGTCCAGCATCTGCATGGTTTTGTCCTGTTGCATTCAGAAATCATACATTCCATCCTCATAGTATTGGTGGTGGGCCTCAGCATTGTGGAGTCAACATTCCAAATCTTTGATTTGCTCTTCAATTGTGTTGGATGTTTGTGACACCTTGGCAATTGGGGCACAGACAGGTGACAGTGTGCTGGGAGTTGCAGTGGTTGTGAGTTGGATGGGTGCTGCTGTTGTTGATGGGTGGGTGTCTGCTTTGAATGCAAGGGTTAACCACAATAATTAGCATAAATGTAGAGTGATTAAATGTACCTGCTGCTGTAGATTCCTCTACCTCCTGCACAACAGATGGGCCAGCCTCAACAATCAAATCTGCTTGTACAGTGGCTGGGATTGGGCAGGAATCCCTGCATTTGAATGCAGGAATATGAATCTCTGAATAACATTTGAGTCAGTGTAAATACATGAAATTGTGAACATACTGAGTGAAGATCCCTTGGGGATCATCTCTCCCTGGTTGGAGGGCCCAACCTCAGTGCTGATGGCTTTAGAAGCCATTGAAACGTGTCGCTTTGGGGGACATTCCTTTGGGCTTTGGGATTCTTGGGCCTCCATTGTCAGGGACAGACTTCGAGCTTGCTTTTTTCCCCTGGCTCATGATGGATTCCGTTGAGTTGGAGCAGCAATCCTGCCTTTTGCATGGCTACATTGAATCTTGTGACCATTGCATGGGAAGCAGGACTTCCCAGGGTTCTTGTAGCATCAGACCTTGCATCTGCAGCACAACTTGCAGGAATGGGGGTCAGGGGAAGGCATCCTTCTGGCAGCTACAGCAGCACAACCATATAGTCCATCTGACAGTGGACAAGGCTTGTGTTTTGATTGGCCTTGAGCAGGAATGTCTTCATCATCATTGGTTTCCACTGTTGCCTTCCTAGAGCAGGATCAATGTCTGGATCAATGGGACATTGTTTTCATGGCAGCTTTGTGCTTCTGCCTGCCTTGCACTGTAGGGAATGTAATTTCCCTATCAGGGGAATTGGTTTATGTTACACTCAACCAAAGTCAAGATGTAGGGAGAGCTCAAACACAGACTATGGGTTTCTACTGAGCAATGGCTGCAGTAACCTCTGTAAATGACAGAGGATTTAAGCAATGCTGGTAAGAGTGGTCTGGGTTAGGGACACTGAGGGTGAAGTTCTGAGAATGCTGCATATAATTGAGCAGCTCAAGTCTGGGTCTCTAGGACTTGAGCTAACAGGTTAAATACTGTACAAGAGACAGACCATGAGGTGTCTGCATGTAACAAGACAACTATGCCATTGGTTGAACAATAATGACATATGTCCTACACATGCAATGAGGGAACAACACTAGTGGTGGAAGTAAAGAGCCATCAGATCAGCAAGAAGATGGCTCAAAAAGGAAAGACAGTCCAATGGATCAAACACAAGGTAAAAGTACAAGCAAAGAAGTGAACAAGGGTGAAATGTAACATTACCCCCCTGTTAAGCCTTGAAGTCCCCAACTTCAATCTACTCTTCACAAGGTTCTCCGGTCATATTGCTGATGGTGGAGTTGTCAAAGTCGAAGTTGTTATTGTACAAATTGTCATCCTTGCTCCCAACAAGGGTACAATTGTCCACTACACCAGGGGTGGAAAGTCTTTCTTGTAAAGCCCATCAAGGGCATAACAAAGGGCATTTGGCCTGGGTATGACCAGGACAAGTGGCATGACAAAGGGGACATTCATAGAGCCCACAATTGACATGGATGTGCCCGAGTCATCAACAGACATAACACATCAGACAGTAACATGGATCAGAAGGGGTAAGAGGATGATCAGCCTCAGTCATCAAGATGGGGGATGGAGGTAGCTGGGCAAGAGTTTCAACAACATTCAGAGTATAATCCAACTCTGCTCTGGAGACACCAAAGGCAGTCTCAGGGTCTACCTCAGTTGGGGAGTCATGTGACTTGCAAGGTTGGGGATTTGTGCCAGATAGACAACAGGCACATAGACAGTCAGCTCTTCTAAGAGAGCGAGATGAACAGGAGGAATGGGAGGATGACAGTGACAATGCCAGAGGGGAGGACAACATGGAGGAAACTGGGGGAGAAGTTGCAGTTGAGGGCCTTCTTGACCCAGGAGGGGGAGGGGTGACCAATGTAGGGTACTGACAAATGTTGAAAATGAGATCTGCTCCTCCAAGAATATCAAAAAGTCAAAGGAGTAAAGGTACTTGTTCATAGGTGATCTCGTTGAGGATGGTACAGGCAGGGGACAGAAGTGGGTTTTGTCAGTTTACATATCTGGACAGTTCCTCAAGCCAAAGGGCTTGGATTGTGGCATGGTAGATGAGGTCGAGAGGGGAGTTCTCGTTGACCTCATGGTAGACCATCCCAATGATGGCAGGGATGGTGATGAAGAGTCAGTATGAAGTGATCATCTGATCACTGGTAGGTTGTCATTGTCGACATGTGAACAGAGTATGATGGTGGGAGGGTTCACAAGGATAGGTGTAATGGCAAGGAGGCATTTCGATGCAGAGTCTGTTGATGGTATGAGTCCTTTGTCAAGTGGGTTGTTTCTGAGGAGGAAAGTCTTTTGGGAATTGTTTCTTATATGTGGAAAGCATATCATCTGCATGTTCAAGGTGTGTTTCTTTTTGCCATGAGTTTTCAGAAGAAGGATAACCCTTCCATTTAATTAAAAAGGCATGTCCACAGCTGGACCTTTTATGGCCAACTATCACCTCTACTTTGTATTCTTCTTCTTCATCAACCAAATCAGGAAGTGGGGCTGGGAAGTTTGGTCTGTGGACATCATTCTTGTGATAGGGTGATAGAAGAGAAGTGTGGAAGATGCTATGTATCTTCCATCATGCAGGGATCACAAGGCAATAGGTGATCAGAGATAGGATGTCAGAAATGACAAAGGGTCCTTCTCATTTTGGAGCAATCTTTCTGTTTTCATGGGAACATTTTAAGTTCCAGGCCTTGAGCCAAACTTTATCTCCTTTCTGGAACAGGGAGAAGGGTCATGATGAGCAGTTTTTCATTACATTCCTGGCTAGATCATGTGCCACTAGGGCTTCTTCTCTAGCCTTTTGGAGTTCCTCGAGTCTGGACTGGGTGGTGGGAAGGTGGGTTTCCATGATAAGGGATGGAAGCAGTTTCAGTTCATACCCATACATGAGGTAGAATGGAGATTGACCTGTGACAGAGTGAGGACAGTGGTTGTGCACAAATTCTGCCATGGGAAGGTTGTCCACCCATGAAGTGGGGTCATTTTGGCAGAAGATTCAGAGATAGGTCTCTATTTCTTGATTAACACATTCCGTTTCTCTGTCAGTTTGTGGATGGTACACTGTTGACAAGGCAAGGGAATATCCAAGAAGGGAGGCAAGTTCCTTTGTGAATGCAGAGGTGAACTGAGGTCCTCTGTCAGAAATTATTTT